TAAAGAGTCAAAGGACAGTGAGACGAGAACCTCGTACATTCCAAGGATCTTTATTCCAGAGCAATCTGCCAATTCACGAAGACCTCACAACCAAATGTAAGTCACTAAAATGATTCTTCAGCATAAGTGCCCACATTAATCCTGATCCCAGATTTCATTGTAAACAGCCAATAAAAGGCATGAATCAAAACAAAACTTGTCTGGGTCCATTATGTTGGATTTAAGGAAAGCTCATCTTTGTTTGTGTTTTATCTTTTGGCTCCAAAGCATCGAAATGAACCAGACGGAATCCAACTTCAGCAGAGAAAGAGTGACGATTTGCCTCGATCTTCCCTATGCTTGACTCCCAGTCTAGACAATCTGTAACGTTTTCTTGTTTATACAACCTCAGATATAGTCTTAAATTGGTTCTGGAAAGCAGGTTTAAAGTGTCTCTCTCCCTTTCTGAATATACCCATTAAGCTAGGATGTACATTCATGCCAAAGCAGATTTAATCGAATTTGTTTTCCAATTGGATCGAAAGATTGAAAACGACGATAAAGACTAATTAATATAGAAATATACAAGAGTACAAAAGAAATCGTTGAAAAACTTCAGGATAGAATTAGAAATGACCCTCGCATTGTATACAAAGTATAGGAAATGTATAATTTAAATTTTCTCTATAATGATAAGTTTGGGTGTTAAAGCACTATATAAAGATGGTGAACTTCGAATGTGGACTTGTTTTATATATGAGACTTGGAAAGGGGTAGCTAAACTGCATTTTTTGGGTCCTTAATTCGCCTTACTCAGGCTTTTAACTCGTTATAAACGGATATCTGATCCTGATCATCGTAAATAAATAAACTGATTTTGACGAGAAAAGATATTCCAGCAATAGAGCAACGTGGGTCCGGATTTGGATGATTTTTCTCAGTCAGCACCTTTTCGTATTGACGCCAACTTCACATTTACTACGATTCCTATACGAGATGGTTGACAGAGCGGAGGCAATGTTGCAAAAAATAAAAAAAGAAGCTAACAAAGCATCTTTCAGCTGCTATTTATGGTCGACCTAGCCCGAGGCTTGCGAAGAACAGTCTTAATGCCACAATAATTACAGTAAAATCTAGCACTTTTTATGCACCCGTGGTGACAACACGTGACCATTTTGACAATGAGAGAATACCGCCTGGAGTTGTCTAAATGCCACTACCAGGCTGTTCAGGAAAAACAACCTTTTCAAGAGAAAGTGGTATATAGTCTTCATCTACAGCACTTTTGAATGCAGAGTTTGCATAGTTGTAGATGCATCATCAATATAATGTTGTCCAGAGAGGTCTGAATTCTCTGTTTTAACATCTTATTAAGGTATATATGGGCATGCCTTCTAATAGGCACATGTAAAAACGTAGATATACGCACGCACACCAAAGCAAAATCCAAAATTTACACGGTATCATGTCTCAGCTTACCAGTCAGGCCTAATTATCATGAGCGACAAAGAGAAATAAAGTAAGAAAAGGGAAAAGTCTGAGCCGAAGTTCATTGTGTGCGAGATAGATATATAGATATATAGATAGATAGATAGAGAGAAAGTAAACAGATAGATAGATAGATAGATAGATAGATAGATAGATAAATAGATAAATAGATAGACAGATAGATAGACAGATAGATAGATAGACGGGTAGACGGATAGATAGATAGATAGATAGATAGATAGATAGATAGATAGATAGATAGATAGATAGATAGATA